TATGGTTAGTGCCCAACAGAAGAGGGGGAGTGCAAATACTTAAGTCCATACAGCACACACAGGCCATGTCCAGATGAGCATAGATGTTTGGTTCCTCAGGGACAAGTAGCAGTGGTGCAACTTATGCCACTGCTACTTGTCCCCAAGGAACACCCATACCAGACACACTTTGGCATGTGGCGAGCTACCCACAGTCAGGTAGGGGAGGCTGCACTGGGCTGGCCCCAACAGCCTTACCTGGGCTTCTGGGGGCCTCCCAAGGCTTCAGCAGTGGCAAGTCTGTTGTGCAGAGCCTGGCTGGCAGCCACAGCACAGCTCCAGGTGGCCCAGTTCTGCTTTGGGTGGTGCACTGCCTGTGCGTGTGATGCTCCACTTTTTTTTTTCCCCCCACAGGTTTTTTTGACCCCTGTATATCCAGGGGTCAAAAAAAACCAAAAACACAGAAAAAACAAAGCGGAGCAGCGCACAAATCTGAGCAGCCCGCCCTTGCAGCTCAGAGAATATCTAAAAGTGCAATATGTGGTGCCACAGACATGTTTGCGGCACCACATATCGCATGACTGCACTGATCTGGACACAGCTACAGTGGTTATTATGAATCACACAGCCTCACAGGCTGAAGGAAACACTGAATGAGAAAGAAACAAAAAATATCTACTTTTCTGTCTGTGTGTTGGATATGATAATACCTGTCCCAATAGGCCCTGAACAATTCCCAAGTAAAATAGACATTGAAACCAAGGTCTTCAGTGAAGTTTACATAGTTTTTGACCTCCTACACAATGGTTCATTAATTGCTTATATGGGGAAAAAAAGACCTTGATTTTTATGTGAATTTATTAAATTCCAGATTTCATCAGAGATGCAGTTACAGCAAATAATCTTAAATTAAAATGTAAATTACATGTGTGTCCTTAGCAAGACAAGCTGCTCATGATAACAGTAGTGGAGGATGTGTAGGGAGCATGGCAGGGTACAAGTAGAGCAGGGAAAGAGGTGGGGTGGGAGAACCCTCCTATTCCCATAACCCTATGGATTGGCCGTTTTCCTCAATGTAAGTGATCCAAGGTCTGTTCAACTTGAAAGAGAGAGGCTGAAGACAGAAGCACTTTAAACTGATCTTAGCCAACTCCATTGTAGATTTTGCAGGGCATGTCAGGGTTTTTCTTCCTCACCACACGGATAGTGCAGGTTCTTTTGTGAAACAAGGCGACACAATTCACCTTATCGTAGTTTTGAGGTGTGAAAACACTGAGGCAAAGAGAGGTAAATTGAAAATCATGAATTTGCATGTGGATCAGGATAAAAACTGATATTTACCAAGTCAAATCCCTTTGCTGATTTCAGAGGAAGTTACACTCTAATCCAGAGTCTCTGGTAACTGCATGTACCACTGACTATCAGAAAGAAAACACTGAACTCTGATCTCTTGTCCTGGCAGCAAGTAAAAAAGGAGCTGATTCTTTAATAATGTAGCATAGAAATGCAATTCTCTGAAATTACCTTGTTCAGGATTAAACAGATAGTCATGTTCATCCTGGACTGTACATGGATTCCCACACAGTGACAGAGTGAAGACAACTCATAACCTCCTTTATTCAGAGGGCATTTATACACGTGCTCCAGGAGAATGGGGAGTCAGTGGTGGCATGTGCACCCCCTGAGAGTGCTGGTGTACCCCTGACAGGCCATGCTCCCCTCTTAGGCGATGGGCGGGGGGGGGCAGGCAGAAGCGCCAGTGCCCCCCCTGAGTGCCGGCCGGGGAGTAAGAGCACCGGATGTAGCACCATGGCCACTTCCCAGTCAGCATAATTAGCTGTGGGGGGAGCTCCCCACCAGGCACTGACTGGTTGCTGGGGGGACACGTGCCCCCTCTGACCAAAGTAGCACCAGTCACCCATGTGGGGAGTGCTTTAATTAGAATGGCTCCAAGAGTGTCTTGGCGTGTACAGTAAAGCACCAAGGGTGTCTCATGTATCAGTATCCCCGTGCTTGAAAATGGCTGCAGGGGCGCTTGAAGAAGCTTTAGGTAAAGTGCTCCTGCTGCTATTTTTAAGCATGGCGATGCTGATACACAAGATGCTGAAGGGTGCTGGAGCACAGTAACTACCATGCTCCAGCATGGTATAATTACAGCACACTGCAGCTGCCTTGCTGCTCATGTATATGTGCCCAGTGAGGGCTATACAGTAGGGGTGTGTGAAGCAGACCCCACTTGATTCAGAATCAGCCTGAATCAAGGACAGTGATTCAATTAGTTGATTCAGATCACTTTCCCTGATTCTATTTGGCCGAATCTGAATCTGAAGATTCGATGCTGATTCACAGAATCAGCGATTTGGACATAGACACAGCTTTAAAAGTTTTTTTCTACATAACTCAAGGTAGCAGGCATGGCTTATGATCACTGCAATGCTGGGGCACATGGAGCATCCCACACGAGCATGGGGGGCCCTTCACGTGTTTGGCAGCGAACCCGGAAGTGGACCAGAAGTACTTCTGCTCCACTTCTGGGTCTGTCAGGAAACACGCTGCCCCCCCAGCACCTCCCTGGCTCAGCAACTGGCTGCAGAGGGACCCCAGGTCCCCCTCCCCCGACCCAGGAGACACCAGTCACGAAGCCAGGTGGGTGCAGGGGGGCCCCCCAGTGGACCCGGAAGTGGACCAGAAGTGCAGTCTTGCCCAGTTCTGGATCTGCTGCTGAGCATGGTGGGGACCCCCTCATGCTTCCGTGCGATGCTCCATGTGCTCCAGCATTGCAGCACTT